GTGTGCCGTACACTATTGGCAATTTTTCCATTTCCCCCACAACGCTGTCTTCGGGGGATGGTAACATCCCCTCCGTGTCCATGTGTTTCACGGTGGGCGGTCAGAGCTGCGACCCCAGGTACCCGTGCTGTCACATGGACTTCGCCAAGGTGGGGTTGGGGGGGTTGGGGGGGTTGGGGGTTGGGGGGGTTGGGGGGGTAGGGGGGGTTGGGGGGGTTGGGGGGGTAGGGGGTTGGGGGGGTTGGGGAGGTGGCTGAATGGGGACAAGGTTGGAAAGGTGGGGGTGGGGCGGCGGAGGCGGAGGGTGGGCATAACTATCAAATGCCACAAGTGCCGCCAATCATGTACTTTCTGAAGCAATCCACCCCCCCCCTCGCTCGACAGGTTTACAGCTCCTCCCGCATCCCCACCCCGTCTAACCCGCCCCTCACCCTCTCCCCTCATCCACAACCTCTCTCCGCCCATCCCGTATCATCACATCACCACCTTTTGCCACTACCCTCACACACAGCGGGTGCCTCTCTGTTACATTTCCCTCCCCGCCAACTCCCCCCGTCAGGTGGAGATCCCAATTACCTGGGCCTGTAAGCCAGCTGTCCAGGAGATCAGGGTTGCCGGAAAGAAGATTTCGTACAGCTGGTCGTTCTACGAGGAGTTCGTTACGCTGAAATTTACTGGTCTGCTGAAGTGGGTGCGGAGGCTTCAATTCAAATCGAAGAGCGTCTTCCCTCCCGCTCGCTCTATCTCTCTGCAATACTACTCTCCCAACTCGTCCGACATTCGACACGTGTGTTTGCGCAACCCCAAGTCACGCACGCCGCGTCCCCCCAAACCACAGGTACCTGCCGCAACCCGTGGGTGCCCAAATCTGCTGGGGGGTGGCGCCAGGCGCGTGTGCAGATCCCGCCAAATTCTGCCTGTACGGCAGGTGTCAGGTGCGAATGATGACGCCACATGCCTGTACGATACGCGTGTATATCACCGGCCGGCATACACACGTGCGCATGCAAGTCGCGTTTGTCAGCGGGGTATAACACACCGGCTCCGGCGGACCGTCCGTCCGTATGTATGTATGTATGCATGCATGAGCATCGATACTTAGCGTGCACATACATCTTTTTAAAACACAAAAAACGACATCCATAAAAAAATAAAACTTCTGCCCCATCAACCTCGATCGCTCCCTGACGCCTTATTACTTTCATACATACATACATGCAGGTGAACATATACTCGGTTGACAACAAATGCTGCCCAGCCACCTTCGTCTCGTAAGCGTTACGGCAACAATGGAAACCGTTTGTACATGGTGCAGAGTGCGGATAAGGCCGCTTGCCATGCTTTTTTGAAAATGCCCCTGGTGTCCCTAGCTTCTTCTTCTTCTTCTTCAGCACATGATGGTGATGCCTGGCTCTCCTATGCCAGCAGGCGCTCTATTGTTGCGCTTTATTTCCCAACGTCGATGTTGAATATACATACATCCGTACATACAGCACGCACAATCTCACCGTTAGGGGACACCTCGTTCACAGCTTTGCCAAAAAAACAGCAGGCTATGTTTTTGTGGTAAAAAGTATAACGCATTCCCGTACATTTGCGCGGGGGGCGGGGAGTGCACGTATGCAACCACCAACCACCTGGGGGGCAACCACCAGCAGGCAGACGCTAGATCTGGCTGATATAGTAGCTCCGAAAGCATCCGTGGAAGGTATGTATGTATGACTTAGATTACACTGTGGGCCGCGAGAGCCGGGGGCCGAAGCCGAAAATGTATGTATGTATGTTGGCGGCCTTGTTGGGATCTGCGGGGCCCAACCAACAACGAGCTTGATGGCTACCTGCAGTCCTGGTCACCATCAGGCTGCTGCTGCGGTACGATAGTACGGACGGCGGGCCAACGTCTGCCGGCGGCGGCGGCATCAAATGACCGCATATTTTTTCACAGCAGCATCACTGGGAGTGAGGCCGCCGCCGCCGTCGCCGCCGCCGCATGCGAACATTTCGCACACACATAACCGATATGTGCGGATAACAACAAGCTCAAGGACAAGGAATGGCGATCGTTGAGTACATCTTGAGCTTTGTCTATGTGCTGCTGTTGCTGCTCAGGAACAACAAACTAGCCATCGGTGTTTCTGCTGCTGTTGCTCATGTATGTATGTATGTATGTATATATGTAAGTGTGCATGCTCGATATCAATGGATATCAAAGTAATGGAAATGTCGTGTCATACGTGGCCAATGATTTGTGAGATTGATGATGATGATGGTGGTGTGTCGACGGTGGCATGCCACGATGGCGAAAAAACTCTTCCCAGCTGCTGCTGCTGCTGCTGCTGCTGCAGCAGCAGGTCATAGCAGGGGTTAGATATCCGTGTCTTTTGACAGCCTCGCTCTGCCGACCGACGAGACAGGACAGGATAGGGATAGTTCCGGCATGCCAATAATGTCGCATCACGAGGCAGGGCGGTTATTGCCTGCGGTTCTGCCTGCGTCGCCCTTTGACGCGCCGTTCAGCTCGACGGAAAAAGATCCTACTCTCTCTCTCTTTCTCTCTGCCCCCACCCGCTGCGGGGTTTTCGTCTTTTCTGTTATGCTGGCTTAGTCCTCTTTCTTCTTCCTGCGTAGGGTTAAGGTAGATTTGTTATTTGGGCGTCTATCTGCATGATGAGTTCGAACGGTTCTTGTTATCCTTTACGGAAGTACTCGCTCGCTCTAGAGCTTCTTATGATATCTTTATATTTCTGTTCTCTTCAGTCGTTATTAGCTTTCTAAGCGTGCTTCGGACTCCGCTGCCGCGAGCAGACACAGTGCTGAGTACTGCTGGATATAGATATGGGATACGGATTGTTCGTTGCTACAGATAGACATGAATTTCTAGAAGCATGGCATGGCATCAACGTGATCTACGTGGGTAAATGGATCGTATTCAGGTGTACATCTGTATTCAGGTGGCTCGTGCTTAGGTAGAAGTAGACGTACGTCGACAAGTAGATAGCCTGTCTCACGTGTACCAGTCTGTCGGCAGTAAAGATGGGGGCCCTTGTGAAGCAGCTGCCCGCGTTTCCAAAGCACGTATGGTGATGTGGAAGGTGCGGAAGTACGTCGGTGAAATATAATGTGGTAGGACTGGAGAGAATAGTGTAGCAGTATAATGTATTGTGAGTGTAGCTGAAGCTTTCATCGTGGGCGCGTCTCGTTGCAAGCTAAGCAACGCGTATACATGACGTGTAGCATCAGTCCTCAGTTCACTTCTTGTAACGAACATCAGCATAGGTCCAAGCCCTCTCGCTTGGAGGGATATATGCAAACAAACATCTTGATAGGTAAACTCGCATGCTACCGAGCATTCAACCGAGCACATGCATGCTTAGTTGAATGGTGAGATGCGACCCCCCTTCATTTCGTGCTCGGCAAGCCTGCCACCGCGTGCGTTCCGGATATGTTGGCGATGTTACAGAGACGCTGCACCTTGGTTTCTGTGCGCCATGCATACGATGCTCGACCCCGCCGACCAAAACTACACGTGCCCAACTGAAGACACACCGGTGGTTGTGCAGCAGCTCTTGAGGCTTTGTTGGCTGAAATCCATCCTGAGACGCTGCACCTCGGTACCTGTGCGCAATGCGTACGCTGCTCGCCCGCGCCGACCAAAACTACATGTTCCCATCTGAAGACAATGCCGGTGGTTCTTAAACAGAATTTGAGCTTGCTGCTGGCTCAAGTCCTTCCGTAGTAGCTGCAACACGGCTAACGCAGGCACGGCCGAATGCGCTGCGAAAAGCTGTTCCAAGCCCTCAGCGGCATCCATTTTACTTGCAAGGTTCTGAACGACTTTCGCGATTCTTCTCTTTACCTAATTCTGCGTTGTTATTATTTATTTCGTAAGAGTGTAGCTTGAGTTTAGTCGGAACAATGTGCATTATGCGCTGCGCTACCGAAAGCAGGCGCCTTATGGCTGATTCTTCGCCGACCGCTTCATCTTCCGCGGCAGTTTCACGAGCCCAGAGTTGCAAGCTACGACGTTGGCTTTCGGTGCTTTTATTTACTGCAAAGCATCGACGCAATAGTCCAGCGTGCGGCTATGGCCAACATGCTCACCTGCGCAACGCGCTGGCGCACCTGGTCCTCATCCGCCAAGAAATTTTATATACATTTGTACAGGCGCATTTTGCGAGTCGCACGCGCGCATCTGCGCGGCAAAATTCGCTCCTGACTTTTGGGACGAGATGTACGGATTCTCTATTCGCGAAGTACGACCGGACACATTTGTGCGAGGGGCTGCTTAATGAAGCTTTGCTTCCATTTGTGTGCCAGATGGCTGCGGGCTGCAGTGGCGGCTGCAGTGGCGGCTGTGCTGGGTGATCTGAGGGTCGGGGGCGGGTGCGTGGCAGCCCGATGACAGCCCTGAGGCCTTCAACGCAGATGACGATGAGCAGCCACACCAGTGTAACCAACCAGCAGGAGGTCTTAGGGTGAGATTTCTTCCCTTGGCCCTTGGCATGCTGCAAACCTAAATGAAATGAAACGTACAACAAAAGAATAATTCGCATCGCAACGACTGCTGTTGTTGTGGCCTGCTGCCGAATGGAGAATGTACCCAGGATGATAAGGAAACGTGCGGACGCCTGGCCATGGCCATGCATGCGAACTTTGGCTGCTGCGAACCCTGTGACGTGGAAACCTTGGCTGTGCCCGGGCCCGCGGAGCGTTCCGTTCCGTTAGACTCTAACGGAACGGAAGGTGCTCCAGGTGCTCGGAGCACCTGGGGGGAAAAAAGCGGCGCCGTTCAGCACCGCACTGTCGTCCGCTTACAGATCCATACAAAAGCCATTTCACATCGCCATGAGATCCCGCCAAGGCACGAATGAATATTGGTTCCCCAGAGCTGCCAACGAATATCCACATACATACATATAAAAAAATTCCACCACCGCATCGTTAGACTGTCGTGTCGGCGCTGCTGCAACGCCTACGTCTTGGCGATGAGGGCGACTAGCGCCACTAGCGGCCGTGCAGCCGTGTTCGCGCTTCCCTCCCTACTGCCACTACTGCTGCTGCTGCCACTACTGCTGCTGCTGCCACTACTGCTGCTGAACGGTGCGGCTGCTGCCGACCCCCAGACCGACGCCGCAAGCACAGCCCTCGCCAGTGGGTGCGTATGGTAGGTAGGCGGCAGGTTCATTAGCACGGAAGATGGAAAAGCAAGACTGAGCAACTCATTGAGCGGGGGCCTCAGATGGGAATAAGAGGGGAAAAGTGGAGGAGGTAAAATTCAGATGGAGCTCATAAGTTTAAATAAACCTGCGACAAAGCGTTCAACATCCTCTCCTCTCCTCTCCTCCCCCTGGAAGGCGCATTCCTCTTCACCGGCTCAACACACGGCACCACACCGCGCCTCAATAACTAACGATAGTAGTAATAATGCAAGTTGAACAATGACACACAAGTCAGTTACACTTACCGGGCCAGTCACAGATGGAGGTCGTTTAATAAAACCCTCGTGCGCCACCACACACATTTATTCTCGCCCTGTGATTCGTGAACAGCAACCCTCCACCCCAACACCGATCGAACTACAGACAGACAGACAGACAGACAGACCTTGACGGGGCACATTAATAACTTTTTATTTATATGCATTGCTCGTTGTTCGGAGGAGTATGCCGGTTTTTTGGGGTGGTTGGATTGGCGGCACACACGGCCAGGTGTGGCCAGGTGGCAGTGCTGTGGGGCGATATTCGATGTATCGGTACGTGTGGGTCGGTCACTTGGTCCCGACCGTGGCGCAGGCGAAGCCTTCTGGAAGACGCGCCATCATCGAAATGCATCGAATGGTCGAACGACGCAGCCTCCGCCGTGGCGGAGGGCGCCTGCAGCCGGTCCAGCAGCGACTGTCCCAGGACGGTCGCTGTAGGGCAGCCAGAGGAGCTGATGTCAAATCCTCTGGACTATTTAAGGGGCAGCTGCTTCAAGGTCTCTAAGGACAAGTGCATGAATGACGCCCGGAGCTATGCACAGGTAGGCAAGCAAGTGTGCCGACGTAGGCGATAAGAGTCGACAACAATCGCCTATACATCCATCTCACGATATGGAACAGGATGACAGGGGATGTCATCAGACGTAAACCAGGGGAGGGCTTCCCAAATGAGATGATCTCGGATCGGAGGGCGAAGGTGAAGGGAATAGTCAGTGGGAGGAGGGGAAGGTGGTGCCGATCAAAATGGGCGGTTGATGAAGGAGGGTTATGCGATGATGAATTACAATCATCAATG